CCTATGTTACCTCTAGTTGACAAAGACAATTGAGGTTAAGCATAGTAACGGTAGGAAACTCCAGAAGAGTCAAGGTCGGAAAGAAGAAACTTTATGTTTTCACCACAAAAGGAGCGTCGCCAGCGCAGTAGAAAGATTCGTTTGGAAAGCTGCATGGAATTACGTGGACGAGAGAAACCCAAACAGAGAAGAATGGAGAAGTTGACCTGCTTAATGAAAACAAACAAATGTGGCGATGAAATGAGGGTTCCTAGTATCAAAGCATTAGTAATGTTATAATTCATCTCAAACGCTTCGTTGTGTAAGAAAATCATGCCCAGTAGGCAGCCTTCTCACTGCTGGAAAGCTGGCAGTGACAATACCCAAAGTTATATTGATGCGAAGAGTTCCTAAGCTGTAAAAATGACCAGTCTGTTAGCTGCCTTACTGATCATCAAAGAGCTGCTCAGGCAATTAATTTCAACGGCGTGCACTGCAGGAACGCTACAACTTTAATAGTTTAAGCTAATTCAACAGCATCAGCGTCAAACAGACAAGATAATCAACTAACCTTGTCAAATCAGCTAGCCGGGTAAAGCGCAGGAATGTTGGCGTTATGACAATAACTATTCGACTTCTATTTACGTACTGAGATTTGTTCTCACTGGCATCCACTTGTTCGGCCATGTAGTTTGATAACATCAGCGTTAACTGGAATTTGTTGTAAGCTAGCTGTTCACGCATCATGTATATGATAATACATGTTTGAATGATAATTACAAATACGGACAACAACATCTGTATGCTTCGAAAGGTGTTACCACTGACTTTCTGCCCAAACCTGCAAAAACACAAGATTGATATAAAGCTCGTGAAAATTTGCAGCGCTGATTTGTAGTTGAGTCAGTAAAAATGCAGACTTTTCTGAAGATAGCTTACTCGCCAATGAATGAAAAACTGACTTTATGATTTTCAGTGTTTGCGTTGGCAACAACTAGGAGTATTATGCCGTGACACCAAGCACTACTTCTCTGGTAAAGGTTTAGTTAAATAATTTTGCGAGTTTGCATCACAAATTAATAATAATTCCATTAAATTAATAATGATGGTTTTAAATCAAAACGTAAGCAGTGTTTTAGATGTGAAAAATACGCTCAAATTTTTAAAAGTAATGAAATTTGCCTTCATTTTTAATTCCTTAGTTTCATTAATTAGTTTCAGAG